TAGCTCTCAGAGCAGCCAACCCCCTGCATGGCACATGGTAAGAAAAGCATGGTTCTTGGCAGGGAAAGATGTCTGGGCTTGGGTTTTTTTTTTTTGTTCTGCACAGACGTGAATAGCCAGGCTTCCAACATTATCCTTGCCACGTGCAGTATCCCCAAGTCGTACATGACTTGCCTTGGCTTGTCTTTGAGGCAGGCACTAGAAACTGGAAAGGACCGCTCTTGGCCCCAAGCCTGCCACTCTGCCATTTAGTGTCTGCTCAGGATCTGGGGCAGTGCTGGTAGAGCAGGGGCACTGGAGGGGTACTACTGCTGCTGCCCCATGCTACAGCCACCAGCTGCTCTCTTCCAGAGGGCTGCCCCAAAAATAGGGGCCCACAGTCTGCTCCCACATCTCCCTAAAGTCCTACTGCCACCCCAGGACACAGCCCTGAGGTTTGCAGGGCAGAACCAGACCAGTCTCTTCATGCTGCCTTGTGGCCTTTTATGACCAGAGACCCTGGTCAGTGCCAGCTTGACATTGCTAAGGACTCAATGTGCAAATATTTCTATTCCTGTTCTTTCTCAAATCACTCTCGATGGTGTTTCTAGTAGTTGTTGTAATTCAGTGGGGACTTGGCAATTCACCAATGCTGGCATTTTCCCTTAGTCTAATGCAGTGAAGTAATAAAAAGCAACCACTGAAGACCTTGGACCTGCTATACAGCAAGGCAGCAAGGGAAATTCAACATTTTCCTTGTAACCATGACTCAGATTCACAGCCCTGAAGAGCAGTTTGTGCCACCACCAGTTACCTTTCTGCCATATCTGTCCACACATACCAGGATGATTCTTTTCTGAGAAGCTGTCAGGGAAACAGCAGTAGTTGGGAACTTCAGAAGCGGGTGTGCTCTTGTCTGCATCTGACCATTGCCTGTTAATTACTTGTAGAGCACAAGAGGTGTATTTGATGCTAGACAAACAGCATGTAAGACAAATCTCTTTCTCCAATAAGCTTTTCATGAACACAGATTATGCAGATGCCAACAGGCAAGGCAGGATCAGGCACGATGGAGGGAGCCGACCATGTTGCGGAGGAGGATGGTGATGGAAGGAAAGACAAAAGGTGTGAGCCATTTAGAGAAATTGGAAGGAGATGATTTGTTGAAGGGAAGAGAAATTGTTTTCCAGCCATGGGAAAACAAAACAGAAAAAGGCTGCAGAGATGTCAGAAGCACCAGAGAGTAAAGAGCAGACATAGCAGCTTGAGGCTCAGAATCATCGCTGCTCCAGCTCTTGCCACCAGATCTTGCTTGTGCAATCAATCTGTAAAGAGTTGGGAGTATTCCAAGAGATACAGTAGACAGGATTGCCATGTGTTGACTTCTTGTAACATGCACTGATATCCTGGATGCATGGCATGAAAGAATAAGCTGGAACTTGGGAGGTATAGGCATGCCAACATCTACTCTAGGCTGCCCATGCAGAGCTATGTGGTCCTGTATACCTGAGGCCACTTTGTCTCATAGCAGTGTTGATCAGACCCTGTGTCATCATCCTCACAGGAGACACAGCCCACAATCCAGGCCGCTCAGCTGTTATAGCTGCAAACTGCAGGCAGAAGAGCAGCTGACAAAAAGGCATCTTTTAAATCAATAGGCAACCCAATGTCTTTCTGATTCACAGTGCCCTCATTCAATATCCTGATGGAACAAAGGTAAGTTTTCATTTGATGGTCTACCTACTTGGATGCCTTTTTGAAACCCTGTGCTGACCACATCAGATCTTGCAATTCCTCTCTTCCTTGCCAGGATGCACTTACACATTGGCTGCTTTATAGTAGTTGAGGTGGCGCTTTTATTTTAAGCACTTCTTTTCATTGGTTTCTGCAACCTTCTGAAACCAGTTGGTGTTTTTTTTCCCCCTAGGCTGAAATTTCTCACGCTCATGCTCAGCCCCAGGTGATGAAAGTTTGACGATAATCTGCTGTTGCTGGTGTCTCAACTCAGCAAAGTGGTGATTTGGGGCTGGAACAACTGGACCACCCTGATAATCTGATTGGAGGAGGCATGGCACAAATTTCGCCTCCTCATTTACTGTGTGCACTCTAATTTGTGGGTTCCTGGGTGTCTCTTCACCTCTGCTCAGCTCCCAGCAGTGCCCACAGCCCTGAGCACCCTCCCTGCTACCTGCTGATCCCACACACGAGGTCTTGGTATAGGGCTTGCCCCTGCAGCTTACTTCATTTAAAGTTACACACTAGCAAAGTGGTTGATACTGTTAATCAGAAGAAAGCCCACAAGCTTGAGAAGCCAGATCACTGCTGGATCACGCTGCTTTTCATTTATATTTTTCCTTTGGCAAAAACTTTGGCAAATCCCATAGGACAAACAGGCTTATTTAAAGGGTGTCACCCAGTGTGGTTTCCAAAGCTAGCTTGATTTCCAGCTGGCTACTGCTGGGTGAGGTGGCCATCCACCCATAGACAGTGAGCTGCCTCTGTGTAGATTCTTATGGCTCTCCTGCACTCCTTCATTCCTCTTTTGCAGGCTGCCTTCACCCCACCTTTTGCAGTCCCCTACATCTGCCAGTGCCAGTAGATCCCATCAGACAACACTTTCCCCTCCCTGTAGCTAAGCCCTTGGCAACATGATCCCAGCTGGGTACTTCATGTCTGTACCCCAACGGTAGCTCAAGATCAGTCAAGGGTGATATCTGAGCCCACACCCTACCTTACATGGCCCCTGTGTGCCCTGCAACTGTTGGAAAGAGCTGTTCTGGAGAGCTCCATGAAAGGCAACACTGGGCAGCAGAGAACTTTTCATCTCATTTCGGTCTGTGAAGAGTCCAGCTGGGCACATATCTCAACCCAAATGTCTGAAAAGGAAGGGAGGAAGAGATAACGGAGAACATGAACCCCTTTAAAGTCATGGAACAATCTGAAAGTGAAAGCATCTGGCATTAGCTAAATGCTATGGGGACATGGTGGAGAAAAGTATCCAAAGCAGGGCTAAGGTTAGGAGAAGGTCAGAGCACATCCGTGATTACAAGGTCACAATTGGCACTAAAGAACCATGAGGCAGGATGGTTTTGCAAAGGTCATGCTGTTACCTTCAAATCAAAAGCAATATTCAGCTTTCAGGTCTGGTGGTGAGAGGGAGAGCTAAGGACAGCTGAGGCCCCAACCTGGCTTGCCATTGGAGGCCAGACGGTTCACCTAGGGAAGGGGGGAATAAAACACCTTCAGTGTCAGCCGTAAGGCTGGCTTTCTGTTTATAGCAGCCCTGATGGCAGAGTGAGAAACATGCAGAGAGAGGCTGGTTAGAGGGATGAGGGGGGTGGAACACTAGCCCGCAAAGTCAATAGTAATTCAATACCCTCCTGACATTTTTGGTTGGTAGAAGGATAGATATTTAAATCATAACCTTCTCTCTCCTTTAACCTCCATCCCAAACTAAATAAATAAATAAGTAAATAAATAAATAAATAACCCCAGTGGCCCCTGTTTTGGCCTGCCAAGAACTCAGAGCATTTGCAGTACGCTGGCAGGGCTGCACTTCAGTCACCGTCAGCTGAGCCTTTTCCTTGACATTGCAAATGCTCACTCCCCTTCAGCTTTCGGAGGGGCATGGAGGACCAGGAGCCAGCAGAACTGGCCCTGCATTTGGCTGGGACCTGAGCATGTGTCCCCCAGTTGCTGTGCAACCAGTGGCTCAAGGCATGGTGCAGTAGTGCATACGTGCTGATTTGCCCATGCAACAGCCAGCTTTTGCCAAGTTCACTGACCTCTGGCACAGCACGCACCAGCCCCAGCTGGGTCTGTCTGGAAAAGCAGGAGGAGAGGGTGAATGTTTGGAAAGAAATGGAAGAAGACAGGGAGAAAGGGAAAAAAGCTCTGGTTTCCGTTTGCACCCTCTGTCCATGTGTCCAAATCCACAGGGCAATGAATCCAGCAAACACTCAGTGCATCTGGATGAATGATATTAGAAGTCCCTAGACCTGTTTAAATCACTTTCTAGCTGCCTAACTCTAGCTTTTGGAGGCAGTTTTGAGGTGAGGCAGTTTGAAAAGCTTGGTTTCATTTGTTACCAAGTCCTCCAGTTCATACCCAGTGGAGAAAAGGGACTAGCAAAATTTAGGAAGGCTATAACAGAAGACAGTAGAGACAATGGCCTGCTAACAGATTTCCACTCTTCTTTTGTAAACTCATAAATCTGTAATGCTGCTGATTGTTTTTAATCTTCCTGAAAATGCTGCTCCTATTTTTTTTTTTTTTTTTGCCTCTTTTTGCAATTCCTCCAAGTACATTCTTTTTTTAAAGGAAATCTAGTCTGAACTGAAGAAGGTCTCACTCCATGGCCATGCAGCAAGGAATTCTGGCTCCCCAGTTCAAAAAAGACAAGGATCTCCTAGAAGGAGTTGAGCAGAGGACAACAAAGATGATAACGGGCTTGGAGCATCTCCGGTATGAGGACAGGCTGAGTAACCTGGGTCTGTTCAGCCTGGGGCAAAGAAGACTGAGAGGGGATCTGATTAATGTTTATAAATATCTAAAAGGAAATGGGAGTTAAATGAATGAGACCAGGCTCTTCTCTGTGGTGTGTAGCAGTAGGACAAGGAGCTATGGCCTGAAACTTGAACACTGGAAGTTCCCTACAGACGTGCAGAAGAATTTCTTTACATTAAGGGTGATGGGGCACTGGAACGGGCTGCCCAGAAAGGTTGTGGAGTCTCCTTCTATGGAGATGTTCAAGACCCATCTGGACACCCACCTATATGACTTATTAGAGGGTACCAGTTTAAGCAGGGAGGTTGGAATCAATTATTTCTTGAGATCACTCCCAACCCCTACGATTCTGTGATTCTGTGATAATTCAAGACCCGTCTGTTATGTCCTAGAATACAGTGGATGGTGGCACTGGGTTATGGATTGTGTCTCTGAGTGAATGAACATGGGGACATGTTCAAGGGATGTTTTGGGACACTGAGCTTCATATATCATCACGTTTTTCCTGACTATAGATTGTTCAGAGCCCATATGGACGTTCTCCACAACCAGCTAGGTTCTGCACAACCAGCACTTCTCCTAGATCATCTAACAATCCAAGCATGCCTTCAGCCCTGATGTGCTCCCAACATGAATGTAAGTATCTTCTTCCTTTCTGCATCTAATAATCCCTAGGCTCTTCCTTGCTCCCCACTGAAATGAGTCCATGCTCCTTTTCCCATCCTACTTTGGACAAATCGAGATTTGACACCAAAGCAGTTAGAAATGGCCAGTTCAATTTCTATGTCTAAATTTTGTGGTTTTATGGTTTTTTTTTTTCTATTTTTCTTTGATTCCTCTGGAAATGAGGAGGCTGAGAACATGGAAATCTAGAACATCTGACAACCATCCTTCTGGCTGCTACCTTCGCTACTGACATAACTCCATCTGCTTAGCCACAGCCTACAGTGCCTCTGGATGGGTCACAGAAAACCCACTGTTGAGGAAACAGCCCCATCTTACTCATTTCTACTTGTTGCCACTCTGCCTTTGCAGTGCACACCTCTACCTTAAGAGGAAGTCACTCGTGCTCTGTAACTGCAATGGGAAGAGTTTCTTACGTCTACTTGTTCTGGGGCAACAACACAAGTGTTTCTCACTGAGATTTCACTCTGCTTGGAAATAATGTCAGCCAGCTGCAAGAAGTGGGAGCTAGAGCAACCAGAGACTGTGCTGGGAGTCTGGAAGGAGGAACCCAAGGCCAGCTCAGTGCTTTAAAGGAAGAAGAATACATCAGAGGCATCCAAGACAGCTGGAGATGACCTGCTTCAAGGCAGGAGCTGGAATGCCATCCTTCCCATGGGAACACAGGAGACACGAGCAGTGGCATCACTCAGCCTGTCTAGCAGCCAGATTGCTTCTTTAAGTTTTCTGCCCCCATAAACCAAGTTGAGTGAATGTTGCCCAAGCACCCCAGTACTGTTTTGATGCGCAATACTGAAAACCAAAAAAAACGTAAAACCATGACAGTTGCTTCTTACAAGTCATCCTCATGATGTTCTCCAAGCACTTCTCCCCAACAGAAACTTACCATTCAGCCTAAGTAAGATTAAATAAGTTTGAAACCCTCAGGCCTCTGATCCTTCTCAGCCCTGGCTGCACTGTGTATCAATAGATGCTGGCATTTGAACTCCCTTTTCTTCAGAGTCTCATTGGCAGGGAAGAGAGGTCCTCATGCCTGAGGGTCCATAGTGGCGTTCTGAATTTGATATTTTCGAAGTTATTCTCATGTGAACACACTGCTGGAGGAGGAGGAGAGACAAAATCAATTGTACAGATCAATACCTGTACTGATGTGTTTCCTGGTGACAGGCCAGATGGCCAATTGATGGTAAACAAAGTCTGAGCAAAGTCTGGACACAGCAAGAGGTTCCAGATGGGAACCAGAAGTTTAGAGCTCATCAGAGCCATCTCCACGCATGCATTGCAGGCACCAAACACTAATAAATGATTGACAGAGCTGTTGTGCATTAGCCTCAAGCTTTCGGATCTCTCCCACTGTTTCTGGATAATTAAAAATAAAAATAAAAATAAATAAAAGATGAGAGAGATTTCTTCTCCTTTTGGAGAAATTAATTAGATCTTCAGCTCTTTACAATACTAAGAGCCCTTTTTCCCATTCCCTAAATTCTTCAGACTGCAGATCAGTCCATTCATTTGAAGACTGCTCAAAGAGTTCCTTCCCTTCAGAGTCTATCCAAAGTATTAAGCATCCAACTCTTCCCTGAGGCTCTACAGAATAACACAGTAAGTCCTTTCCTCCTTTTGTACTCTAAATGATCTTTTATCTTAAATTTCTCAGCTTTTCAGAATATATGAAAGGGATATGAAGCCTGGACATGTAAGCTATTGTTCACAACGAAGAGCTGATGTAAGGAAATTACTTGGACTTATTGCCTCCCTTAGACTCCACTCCTGCTTTTCCACTTTCTCTTCACTTTCTGTATATTTCAGCTGCTGATAATCTGAACATTCATCTGCTTCTTCTGTCTCTTGGTCCATTTTCCCTGTGTTCAGATGTATTTGTACTACCTTGGGTGCTGCATGTTCTTTTCCATGGGGCAGTCACACTGTGAGGCCTGTAACAGACTGAAGGGAAAAAAGGTTTACCTCTTGGAGAGCCTCCATCTGCTTTGTCAGGAACAGCTCTAGCTTTCAATAATGGCCTGAAATTGGTGGGACTCCAATATCCAACTATGTCCAGATATAGCTGTGAGAATCATTCTTTGTGGGTTTTGTTTTTGGTCAAAGCTTGCTTCCTGAGGTATTTCTTGTGATAAGACTCTAACTGATTTATTGAAGAAGCAAGTGATGGGTGCTACCATGTGACAATCAACATCACTTTGTGGACATTCGAAAGCACCTTTCTTCAGAGATGTCTGCCTTCCTAAGAGAGAGCTCAGGAGTATTTACTGGCAGAAGATCTGGCCTGTGACTAAATAGCTCCAGATTGGTATGGGAAAACTGGGGAATGATACCATCGTGTCCTGTGAAAAACAGGATGCAGGTGAGCATCCCTGCTCCCTTTTATCTGCTGGCAAGGCCTGGAAGATGGGAATAAAGGAATTTCTGCTGAGATCCCAGAGCCAGAAGCTGCCACTCCAAGGAGAGCTGACTCAACCACTTTGGATTTGAGCTGTCACTCCAAAGAGAGCTGAGTCAACCACTTTGGACTTGTAAATAAGTTGGTACCACCACTGAAAAGTCATTGTTGTCAACGGAACAACAACACCCGATGACCCACCACTACTGAAGATCAATGACTGAACTACGAACCACGCTGGATCCATGGTGTTAACTATCTCCCTCTTGCTTCCTACAAAGACTCCTTGCTTCTATTTCCTACCTTTTCTATCACCCCCTTTCTTCCCCATTACCCTAATTCATAATAGTGTCCATCCTCCCCTTCCTCATCTCCCTGATTTAGATTTGTAATAAACTGGTCGGACCAACATTTGAACCATTGTTTCTTAATCTCACATATACATACGTGCATACATATATCAGAGAATCTCCTCTCCCTCCTATAAATTGGAATGAGACAATAGCACAAGTGGACACACACATCTGGAACTGAAGTTGGCCTTGCCACTCCTTTTCCAGCCTCCTCCTTGAACACAGACATCCAGATTTAGAGAAGAATACCCAGAAGGAAGAGTTATCAGTAGAGAAGACTTTCTCTGATATCTCAGCAGAACACAGTAGCTCTGCACCAGTGAGCTTCATCCTCATTCTCTGACTTTCAGTTCTCCCATTCAATAATCTTATTTATTATACAACAGCAGGATTAGACAATGCCTGCTGGTTGACATGCTCTGATGGGCATTTATACCTGCTGGCACAGAAGCAGGCACATGCCAGTACTCCTGTGTGCTGATGAGAAGCACTGTTTCCTCCTCCTCTTCAGCTCATGCTGAGGTTTCCTGAAAGCCAGCATTGATCTTGTGTCCAGGTGTGTGCTTGTGTCTCCAGGATTCTTGCTGCTTAGGGCAATGCCAGCCATCAGTGAACTGGATGAGGCCAAACTAGACCCCTACTGAGTCTTTGTGATTCAACTGTCACATAATGGAAACTTCCAGTGGCACACTGCCTTCAGGTACACTGAGGCTATCCTGGCATCCCACAGGGCATGGAGCAAGGAGCTGCCAAACAAAGCTGGATGGTGCAGCTAATTAATACTTCGGGTTCCCACCTGGAGGTTGGTTTTAACGTCCCTCCCTTTGCCTTCTGACAAGTTGTGTAAGAGCATCTCCATCAAAATAGGCTGGATATGCTCATCTGCAGCCCTCTAGGAACTCCTCCAGCACCTTGACTCCTTCTGGGAGCTCTGCCATCCTACTGAACACTGGAGAAGTTATTCTGATGGTGTTGGAGAGCTGAGAGAAGTGGGAGGACGAAGAGGATGGAGTTCCCCAGCACTTTTGCATACAGCCATGCTTTAAGGCCCCTACCCAGAGGAACTGGCCTCTAAGACTAACCTCTGAGCAAACTGAGCAGCGAAAAATATTTGGCTTGCAGAGAAGATAGATGGAAGGAGCTGTCATGGAAATGTTTAACAAGCTAGAGAAAAAAAAAGAAAAAAAAAAAAGATATCCTGAGCTCCCAGTTCTACAGTCCAACAGCAGGAGGACATCTCAGATCTCTGCATGTGACCTTACTGTCATCAGATTAACTGGAACTCACTGCCTCAGGGTGCTGTGGGGCACAAGAGCTAAGCAAGATTTTTTGAGAGGAAGGTAGCACTTATAATGCTCTCCAAATGTTCTGTTGGAATAGGAACTATTTAAAACACTTCAGACTTCCAACAGAAATATGTGCATTCTTGACTCTGATAAACCATTCTCAAGGCTGTCGGGCTGAGAAGGAATTTGCCCTCCAGCTTGGTTAGTCTAGAACCAACCACCGCAGAGTATCTAGCAGAATTTCTCTGGAGGAACTGGTAATAACTGCTTTTGGACTTTGAGTGGCCTACAGAGCTATAGAGTCATGAGACTGAATCAGACATCTGCTATGACCAGAATGGGCAGCATCTGGCCACCCGATCTGTGAATATTTATGGTTCTGACCTAACTGTGATGTATGGGAATATAAAATGCTTGAAAGAACAGGATAACAAGCGTAGAAATGTGCATGACAGGTACTGGCACAGAAGGATTCATATCCTCCAGGTGATAGATCTCATGTTGTAAGGCAAACTGAATTTAAAGCTATGCTCCAAGATTGCTAGCAGCATCCCACAGTTCTGTAGGGCAGTGAGCCAGACAAATGGCAGCTACAGCTCCGTCAGCAGGACCATAAGTATGCACATACTCAGTGGCAATCTCCCACCCCCAGTATGTCTGAGGCTGCCCAGCCTCAAATACTTGCTGCTCATCTCATTGAGTGTGGGACTTTGATTCAGTTCCATGCACGCAGCTTTGCAGTTCAGGCCCTGCAAACAATAGTTCGGTCACTCCGAGAGCAGTGAGCATGAAAAGGGTGTGACTGGAGCCGAGCCAGGCCAGTTCTCTCATGTGAGCTCAACCAGCAACTCTGCGGAGTGTCCGCAAAAATGGTTTTGGCAGGCCCCCTTTGGATGGTTCCAGTTCAAGAGAAACCGCTGGTAGATTTGGAGCTGGCCACATGCAGATCACAGCTGCATGCAGCCAACAGCACAAGCCCTCTTTTCTGGAAGAGCAACACTTCCAGCACATGTGATCTTGATGCTTTATTTGACGTACTATACTGCTCTTGGGTGTCACCTCTTCTCTCCCCATCCCAACAGTCCCTCATACCTCCTCTCTGCCCAAACCTTTCTTCCCTCCCCGCTCCTCTCCCATGCTCCCCCCTCGCTCCCCACAACAGATTCCTCTTTCTCTTCAGACTCACATCTCACCCTAGTTTGAGTGCTTGACATAGGAAATTGTCGTGCTTAAACAAAAACTCCGCTACCATGAGAAAAACAGCCTCTCTGTAAATTCAATGGGACAGGCACCGTTTTACCTCTGAGAAAGATCACCCAGCAAAAATCCTCTGTATGCAGCTCAGGTGCAGCTAACAAACAGGAACTATGAACAAAGCTTGTGAGGGATGAAATGGTAAAACTGACCTTACTGGAGTAAGTTCATTCCCCTTTGCAATTATCTGGGGACAGACTTCACCTCAGGCTGAATAAATACAGCAGCTTAGTTTCCAAAGCTTCAGTTAGTATTTCATACATGGTGCTCAGTTGTGACTTGGCTCTGCTTCAGACAGAGATGTGTAGGTTTGTTCCAACTGATTTGTTCTTTAAGTGAAAATGAGAGCTGGTACAATGCCAGCATTGCAGCGCCCATGTAGTGCACGATGTCAGTCAGGAAATGCAGCATTGGACCTCAGGCTAATAGCTGGGCTCTGACACCAGTGTACTAGATGATCAAGTTCTTCAGGTTTTAGCTTCTTGAAGGAAAAAGGGGATATCACAATGCAATACCAGAGTAACCACGAGAGTTTCTTCCCATTTCTTGCAATCAATATAAGATCTCACTTGTAAAGATTACAGATCATCTGTTTGAAATGTAAGAAATAGGCATTCACACATCAGTGAGTATCTGAGGCCCTTCTAGAGAACAGAAAAGCCAAATTCCATGTTGGTAAGAAGAAGGAGCTTTCCACACCTCTTCGCCGTAGTCAGCTCTTGCATCACTTGTGTAGGCCTTGGTGCAGCATCACAGCTGGGCAACCACCTAAGCCCACCTTTGGGGTTTCAAGGTAGCAGAGGACATACGCTACCAAGAAGGGGACCTGTGCCTCATTCTGTAGGTTTTCTTAGGCCGTGTGATTTGTGACCTGCAATGAGGATTCCTGAGCCTCAACGTAAAACAATTCAAGTAGGTCTTAATTGTTTTTTTTCCGTCTAGTTTCAAAGTCCATTCTCTTGATGGATAGGCTCTGAAAATCTCAAGTTCTTTTTGAGAATCTAAATCTAAATACATAACCAAATAACCAACCTAAGCAAATAATCAAATACTCAAAGGATATAAATACTGATGCAATTCTTCATCGGAATATTTCCTAGAATCATAGAATCATTAAGGTTGGAAAGATCATCTAAGTCCAACCATCAACCCATGCTTGTGACCACTCTAGACTGTGTCCCTCAGTTTTACATCCGCATGGATCTTGAACACCTCCAGGGATGATGACTCCACCACTTCCCTGGGCAGCCTGTGCCACTGCCTCACCGTTCTTTCAGAGAATAAGCTTTCCCCCAATATTGAACCTTTCCTGGCACAACTTGAGGCCATTATCTCTCATCCTATCACTGTTACCTGAGAGAAGAGGTTGAACCCCACCTCACCACAGCCTGCTTTCAGGGCATTTTAGAGAGTGATAAGGTCTCCCCTGAGCCCTAGATGCACGGTGTAGAAAGAATTGACACAAGGTCTGGGAAACCCCTTTTCTGTCTGGAACAGGATCTCTTTCACCTGCACAGGACATGGACGCACATGCATACGTAGTGCTGGTAGTCATATCCAACCTGACTTTGGCCCCATGTCCTGCAGAGAGGTGAGTGTGACCCATTGCAAATAGATCTCACAGGCTGTCAGACCCAACTATGAGCTGCCTTGTTGCTGGAGGTCAAGGGAGGTAAAGACTTGACACCAATACTCTGGAAATAGAAAACAAACATGTACAAAAATCCCCAGCAAGAAAGGACAAGCCAATCTTAACAAGCAATTCCGTTATCCGTAAATAAAAAGAAGGCAATCACAACATGCCTTAAGGCTGGGGAGCCAAAGGCCATCTCCTGTCTATAAGTGACTGATGGCCCATGGGCTTTCCTGCACAAACTTGCCTGGTGTCATTTGTCACCTGTGAGGGGTAAGCCGCTCCTGAAGGCTCTTCTGTGCTGGTGTGTGTGTGTGCGTGCCTGCAACTCACGGAATTTCAGCAAAGACGCATAAGAGGATTGTAGTCCTGGTTCAGCTAAAGACTTAAGATTCTGCATAATGTGTTAAGAGGAGCTTAAAGCAATCCTACTACTCTGCCACAGAAACCCTGAACAGCAGCCTGTCTGTTCTCACCTTTTCCCATCTGCTAGCCAGCTGTGAAAGAGCTGGCTTGCCCTGAGGCTGTTTAAAGGAGCAGGTGCACAGGAGGAGGTTGGGATTCTGCCTCTGACTTCTCATGGGAGCAGATTTTTGTACTCATTACAATAAAATGATACTGTGCAGGTCATCTGCTGCAAAATGCTTTCAGTGTGGTGAATCTGAACTTTGCAGAACCTGGAGGCCACTTGGAGGTGTCTCAAAAGAAAGGCGGTTTCACAGCTCTGGAAGGGGAGCAGAGAGCCAAAAAACCAGCAGTTCTACATCTGTGGCAGGAAATAATATGTAAGTGGAGAAAAAGAGCCCTTGGCCAAAATGATATCATCCAGGAGGATGCCTGCTGTTCTGGAATTAGTTAACATAGGTAAAGTAAGGCAAGATAGGTAAGCATTCACTTGAGGTGAGGCCAGCTAGTTGAGAACTTGAGCAAAGATGGTAAAGAGTCAGGGGAAGGGAAGAAAAAGGTAAGACTCTTGTGAATCAGAGAAGAATGTCAGGCAATAGTGAGGGCAAAAGGTTGGATGAGGGTGTTTCCTATTACTCATCTGCTGGGAAAGTTTGGTTATTGACAGCTAAGACACACACATCCTTATTTTTAACATCTCCGTGTCTTTGTCCCATTTCTGCAAAACAAAGCTATTGTAAAATCCTTCTTCCTAGCATCTGCCTATCCTCACCCTAC